ACCGATAGAAACTTCACGGAGAAATACAGTGTCACGCTATCGTGATAACGTATATGTTTATGACAAATGACCGATGTGCGGATAGTTTCATGTAGATCAGCCGACTTCAACATGTTTCAGATGACATACAAGTATAACAGTGTATCTTCAGAGGATTTCGGATTGCTCAAATTCCCATGAAAGAAGGTGCAGCACTCGGAATCTGGATGATATCCACACGATTTGAGGTATATGTTTGTAGTTACGTCGAGTAGTCCTCCATGAAGGTTGATCGATTTTTTTTAAAAGATGACAACCAGAGGTGAGATTTCTCTTCGGGATATTGCTCATAAGATAACATTCTTTCAAAGCCCCCCCGCCTTTTTATTTGTCTGAAACGTTTGTTGTTGAGAACATTAGATGTAAACATCGCCAAATTATGCAATATCTGATTTTTGAGCTTCGTTCGCGAATTGCCCCTATGGAAAGTAGAGGCAGGCCCGCAGAGATTTTTTCATTTTTAAAAACTAGAATATTATAACCAGCTAGGTGTGCAGTTTCAGCTCCAGAATCGGTGTACTTTTGGAGAAATTCGGATAAACGTTTTCCCTGTTTTACCCGACAACAAAAATGACCAAAACTGTACCGAGATAAATAATCTCTTGGTGTTCACATTCATTCCCAGGGAAAATTAAATGTATCAAAGTGAAGACGAATGATGTTACTATGTATGGTAGAAGTGCCAATTTGTAATTTTGTATTTAGCTTGAGATAAAGAAATAAGCATTTCACTCTTTTTTTGCGACGTTTTTGTATGAAAATGAGGCCCCAGGCCTCGAACAAGCAGCCGTTGTTACCATGGCAACAAGAGTGCTGCGCCCTTTTGTGCATCCCCCTTGAGCGCCTAACTGCATGCAAAATTTGAAGGGAGGTTGAAAATTTTCATTTGCCAAGATGTTTGATTCTTACAGAGACTTGTTCTTAACTTACATCCAAAAAAGACCTGCAAATCAGGTAATAGTGTTAAGTGTTTGATAAAAGATTCACAACGCTTTGGTAGGAGTACTTTTGCTTCGATATATATATCATAAAATGTTTTGGAGTGTATCGCTGAGTATTTTTAACGAATTTGCCCGTAGGCAATGTAATCGTAACAACGATTAACAGTACTAAGCAATACTACACAATAACGTCCAATAAGTTATTTACCATCTAAATATTTTCTTTTTTTGCCAATTATTTTTCCCATCTCTCATAAGGCGGGAAAAGCAAAGTAGAAAGAGAAGCGTAGTGCACAAAGCCGGTTAAACAGGTTCTTTTCCCAATACAAAATAACTAACTGTACAATATCACAGGATATTTGTACTCTATTCGCGCGTTATTTATACTATACTCTGTGCAATTGGATAGTAAGATTATGTATGCTAATGTATGTAGCGCAATGTTGAATGGTATTAAATCATTTTTAAGAAAGCAAATGAAATCATTTTTAGGTAGTTCAAAGAAATGTTAAGAATAGTGACTTAAGCTTTGTAAATAACCTTCGTACTGTCCTTACTTGAGTGACATAAGGTGCCTCTTTAATTAATAATTCCTTTATGAGTGAGTACTGCGACACGCGCAATAGAAATGATCGATACATTCTTTGTAATTCTTATTACTACTACTACTATCATCATCAATCAAAAAAAAACTCGATTCAACAGTAGAAGAAGTTAGTTGGTTGATTTCATGGTAAACCCCCCCATTTGTACCTAAACAAAAGTTAACTTGTCATCAGGGGAAAATATTCCAAAGGCGATTTTGTCTGTACAGCATTCAAATTTCCGACGTGAATATGTATCATTATTCATAATTTTCACAAAGTACGCGCAAGATCGCCTAAATTAAAGCGAAAAAAAAGATAAAGTGGAGCAAAACAAACGTAATGAGAAACTAAACGGCATTTTGCTTTTTTTCGTTGCTGAAACAGATGGTATCTACAAAATTTACGAACGCTAAGTGTAACTGAGGAACAATATTGTACGAGGTAAAATTTGCAATTCAATAATTGCGAAACGTGGCAGCCCTTTTAATGAAGTCCGTGTTATTTTTAAATTACGATAATACGCTGCAAACATTAATTCTCCGAACTGAAAATGTCACTATATTTTCAAATTGATTCTAAATTCATTCTGATTATTAAGATACTAAAATCAGCCCCCAATTTTTCCCCAAAAAAATTTAATGCAGTTGTGAACGTCTGTGCACAGGTTTAATGAAAAAACATAGCAACACGTGAGGTGTTAGTGTTTCTTTTATAGCTGGTATAAAATGATTTAATCAAAACGCATCGATTATGTTAGAAACGGATTGATCACAAACCTGTGATCTTCACACATGTTAACGTTAAAACTTTAAACGAAATTTTTCTTTACTAAATCAGTCTACAGAAGCCCTCTCTGACGCGGCGGTTGATTCAAACGGTGCACAAGTACTTTCAGTCACAGATGTCTGATTTTGAAATCGCATTAAATTTATTTAAGCAATTTAATATGTCTCTTGAAAGATCTCAGTTTGAGGCATGGGATGAATTTAAGAATGTCTCTTTCCTTTGCGGTTGAAACTACCGCGTTGAGAAGCTGAGACTGACTAAATAGAGGCGACTGCCCCGCGCTCTGTTGTCGGATAATGTACAGGCCTGTATCCGCGCACTGTACGTTGATTAACACATGGTACTTAAAAGTTCAAACAGACTGATTCGAACGCCGAAATTGAGTTTGTGCTTCGTACACTGGGTCTGGCACGTGAATGACGCGGCAATAAAAAAGAGTCTGAAGGCTGATATACACAAAACGGGACAAGTCTTTCCGCGCACACTGAATTCAAAACAAGTCATTGCTTCTCATTTATTGTTGCGATCATCCCACAAACTCGAATCCCTTTGAGCTTAAGAGACCTGTTGGGACAAATTTGTGTCGAAAGGATTTTCGCCCTTGAGAGTCCAGTTATTAATGAAAACAACAAACTTACCCTCTCATTCTTGTTCTTGATGGCAAAGTTAAGAACACTCAATTTCTTTGCCGCCTCATTCGCTGTCCTGACTCGAACGTGTGCTAGCCCCTTGATGGAAGGCATGGTCATCACGCAGCCAATCTCTGTCATGTTCCTGCAGAGATTCAGCAGTGCCACCGCGTACTCTTCACAGCGAGTCGACAGATTTGAATAATCCTTCTTGAACTCGTATTCCTCCCGGGCGAGAAGTTCGAGCTTTCCATTGAGCACAAATGCTTGATAAACAGGGTCATTTGTACACGTATATTCAGCGGTTAGTTCCTGTTTCTCGCAGTCGGCGAGATACGACAACGAGAGATAAACCGGGCTGGCTAAGGCCCGATAACCATTCAGTCGATATAGAGCTTTCTCTAGGCTTCCCATTCCATTACAGCCTTCGCACGAACAAGAGCGGGGATGCGGTTCCTCAATTCTATATCCCATGGAGAGGAAAAACTTCACCAAATCGTAGTTATCCTGTTGTGCAGCGAGGGTAAGTGCGAAATTTCCCACCTTAGCTTGTCTTTCCGTTCCTTCCTCAGACTCGAGAGAGCTGGATTTTCTTTTAAAAAATTCTCTCACTTGACGCAAGTCCCCTCTGCGGACGGCTTCAAAGAATAATTGTTCTTCTTCAGAAAGGGTCATCTCCGGCATAGTAGCCTCTAAAACGTCTAACAGAGACGTCGAAGCTGTCCTTCCGCGTCTTAATGCATGAGCCGCCATGTTTAAAAGCAATTATTTCTCACGTTTTGAACTTTCTCTACACAGTAGGATGACTCTTCTTACTCAAGAACGCAAGCGCATTAAGGTTTTCTTTACCGCTGTCAATTTTAAGTATAGCGACTGGTATGTAGAAACAAAAAAATACTCAAACTATTCATTAATTTTTTCTCCTATAATCGGTAACAGCGACATGATCAATATGTTAAACAGATGTAAATTGTGCAGAAAAATTCTGTTTCCCGTTGCTAGGTGGTGATGAACAGTTGTATGGAATGTACCGTGCGAAAAAAGAAGCGGCAAATTGGAGAGCGATCGTTTCTTTTAAACAATGCATTTCACACTTTTTTCAAATAAGCACCATTTAATACAACTAAAAAGTCAAGATATTTTTGCCATCTGAGCACAATCTTTCACTTTTTTCTAGTAGAGCTGTTGAAAAATATACGCCACTTAAAATAAATTCTTTGACCCTCAACGAGCTCCCTAACCTTACCCTCTTTCTTTACATTAAAATCCATCTCAAACGTGTTAAAATGTCTATTTCTGAAACTACAGAGGCTTTTGTTCTGGTTTTATCACGCTTACTATTAAAGAATAAAAAATCCTGGTAAACTTTGATCATGTTCCAAAATTGGCTGTAAAATATTATACCTGCGAACTAACAACCAACTTAAAATTTAAAAAGACCGGTCGTCAATTGAACGAGTTTCTCGAAATCCTCAAAAAAAGCAAATTCATCACGAGTGACTTAGCAGCTGCGTGAGAGATCTTTGGGTAAAAAAATAAGGGACCTTAAAAAAAAAAAGTCGCTCTCTCATTTTATCGAAAATTACTTGCAAACACCTATTTTTCGATCTGCGTCTTCGAAACAATGCATTTTGCGATTGACGGAAAAACGGATAATTCCTGGAAACAGATCTCTTTTTAATTTCTTCTATGAAAAGCTGAGAGTTTTCTTAGCCGGGGACTCAGTAAACGTGGGAATAAGAAAGTTAAAAATGACGAAAATGAAGAAACTTCTTTTTTCTACGAATTACCAATCAAATTGATTTGCCGAGTGATGTCTCCGATCTTCTTCATTATATGTGAACAAACAAAAATTTTCCCAAGTTAAACGAAAATTTTTGAAGTATGTCACCATTCTTATTGAGTGAGCGACCCTGTAACGTCATCGTTCTCACTGGAGTGAGCGTGTGACATGTTCGCATATAGAGACACCACAAGAACTCAATTTTCAAGCTACGCCCATTCAACGAGTTAGAGGACTATAAAAAGGAATGTTAAAAGTTCTTTAACTGTCAATATCTAGCTCACAGAATAGCGTCCGTGTCTTTCTCCGCTTTGCAATAAGTTCCATTGCCTCTGTGATGAATCTCTACCTTGGTTTTTTCCTAAAGGAAATAACAGAGGGAAATAACGTTAAAAACCCTCTAGTCCACAAAGAAAATTTTAAGTCACGTAACTATCCCAAACTACAGAGGAGGTCGCATATACATGAGCAGTCAATATAGCAGATAATATTCGATAAGCTGCTCATAATTCAATGAATTGTTAGTTACAAGTGAAGTTACAAAATAATTATAAAATCATAGACGATCAAAATATTTTCGGTGTGTGTACTGTGTTAATGGGATCTGCATAAAGCTGTTGTGACGTTCCACAAAGAAAGGTAAATTAGTTGCTGTCAGGCTCATTACTGTCATACTCAGAGAACGCACTACTTGGTGATTATTTCACGTTCCTATTTTCTTTTTTCAGTGGAAGACAAGATAATTTACAGTTATAAAAGAAACGGGCAGAGCTAACGCTTTCCCCCTAATAAAAGCTCTTGTTTACAGGCGAGCTTGTACCTGTTGTCGTCTTAGTTTGTGTGTGATCCCTAATACTGCACCCAAGAAAGAAATTTTTGTCTCCTGATATGCACTTACCTCAGACTGTGGTTTTGCTGCATCATCATCAGCAAGACCTTTCCTTTCTTCACTCCTTCTCAACATGCCTTGCAACTGTGCAATCATATCCTTTAGTTCGCCACAGTCCCCCAATCTCTCCGCTGTAAGCTGAGGGGCATGGGACTGGAAGGGTTTGTTCGAATTCTCAATAGTGAGTAGAAACCGCTGGATCAAACGCCTCATTACCACGCGACGCTAAATTAACATAAGGCAGAGGCAAATACCGAAATGAGCTAAAAGGAAAGTAACCATGTTGTAACTGATTTTAGTGTTGCATCCCACTGAATGAAGAAAGTGGGCCAATTTTTCAAGACCAATAAAGAGAATAACTCCTTCCACAAGAGATTCAAGAATCCAGTCATTACCATTTAAGCAAGAATACCTCATTAGATAAAAATTTTACCCCAAGCCTTGATTACTCATCATTGTTCTCAAGCCTCTACTACATTCGTACTTCCTTTCACGTTGGTATTTATTATTTTCATTATCAAAGTGCCAGGGGAATGTTTTCTTATTTAAATCCATAGTGTACTCCCTTAAATTTAACGGTTGAATTAGCTCTTCGAACATAAACATGTTAGGGTGTAGCAAGTTGCATATATAATACATACCCTCTGTATGTCCACCTTATCTTTTAGTAGAGGCGCTGGTCTTTCGCGCCTAGCACAGCATCCGCGCTAAAAAAAGGGAAAAACAAAAGTAAGCAGCAGACATATAACAGAGTATGTGCGGATTAATTTTTATGACTATGTGGGTTTACAGGACTATATTCAACACTTAACGACCGCTACCGAGGGGAACAAAATAGACCGTTTCCCGAGGGACCAACGTTAAGTAATTTGTTATATAGCACAGCGTAGAAATTCAAGGGCAATGTGAAAACAAATCGTAAATTTATGAAGATCTGTGAGCACATTAGAGCGGAAAATACTGCACTGCTGAAATGTCACACCAACGCCAGTCACGTTCTTTTACGTGCAATGTCGGTCAACCTTTGCGGGTAACAATGCACTGTTACCCTCTGAAGTCACACATTCTGCGTTGTTGCCTGCTTAGAGACTTTTGACTGGGAACAGTTTCATTGTTAGATGTCATGTCAAGTCAACCCAGAGTAACCAATGAGAGAGGGTTATGTAACATTGAATCTTTAGGCCTCTCCACCTACCAGGAAGGAGGACGGATCAGCGCAAAACCTTCTACAGAGACGGATTACCAAATACGGATGAGGAATGAGGTTAAATGGCGGCGGCAATACATTGCCTTCGTCCAGATATGGCATCCACATCCGAGTTCTCGAGAACTTCCACTGGATATCAGCATCGTCCTTAAAAAACAGCAACAAATTGTCAACATAAGGTCAGCGCCTCTGCGACATGCGAAATTTCAGTTACAAGATAACATATTTCGTGCTTTTCACATCAAAACGCAGTGAATCGCAACTTGATCGTACCGATAAATAGCGCTATTTTGATAGATGCTTTTTTGGAGAAACACCTTCGGTGCAATAAAATTACATTACATCACGAGATAAAAATCGCACAAGTAAACGGGCTTTCATTGGTTTAACTTACCGCGACCCTCTGATAGGAGTTCGTCATCATTGCAATCAACATGTTTATGGCAACTACAATGGAAAAAATACTGTATAATCCCAGGAGAACTTCCCCTGCGTATTGAGTGATGATGAAGTTCTTGTGTGTTCTCAGGTCCGACAGTTCCGACATGCCAAACAAGTCCCAAAACAAGAACCTCAAACTTCCTCCGATCCTTTAAAAAAAATAAACCGTTAAACAGCAGTTTCACTAGACGCATTTCCTTTCCTTTCTTTGTTTCCTTGTTTTCTTTGTCGCACAGTTGGCCAAGTTTCTACGCAATCGCTGCACAATAGTTGGAAAAAATAAAGGAATTAAATTGCACTGTTTCTTTTTCTTTATAACCTGTTGTCTGTTATTTACTTTTTATTAATCATTATTTATCATTAAACTATAACTTATCTGTTTATTCATAAATTTTCAGTATCTGTAACGAGTCAGTAGTCAACTAAATCTATCAAGTTTGACTATTAAATTGGATGAGGTGGATCCAGTGATCACGTGATCTACCAGTCATATCATGATACGAAAACCGAGCCTAAATTTCCCTCGTTGAGGCAAAATTGTTCTTTTGATACATACCAAAGACTCAATTAGTACTTACCTGGCAAATTCGTGTTCAGTTTCATTCCCCTGAAAAACTTTCCTTGTTTGTACGTACCGGGAGTAAACCTTTCGCTCGGCCCAACCGAATGCGAGAAACAACAACAAAAACAGGAACAGAAACTTGATAATGTCTCGCATCATTTTCACCAAGGACAGCTGCAGAGGCCCGAGAATGGAGTTAACTTGAAAAAAGTTTGAAGCATTTATGAAGCTCAACACCAGACTGATGGAAAATGTGGCATTAGAAAGGAGAATAAGGCGATATGCGTACACTTGGGCTTTGTCACCAAATACGTCGCCAATGGGTATTGTCCAGCCTCCAAATCCTTGCGCTGTCATGATGAACCCGGCAATCCAAAGGATTCCCGAAATTATGAACAACCCTATCATAAACAGTGTGACGAGGTTCCAGTATTGTGAAATATAACGCTCTTTACCTTGGCGAAATGCCTCCTGTGCCTCTTGGAACAACAGACCGGCGATCCACAGCGACATGAACAAATCTGGTCAAGAAGAAATACAACTTACTGGTCTACGCAGAAGTTATTTTTCGCCATAACGACAAGACTCAAATAAACTCTTCCACAACGGCTTCTTGTATACATCATTCGCTTACTTCAATTGTAAGGAGTGTGATAAATAATTGGCGTGTACTATTACTACCGATTAAATACTCATGAATTAATTTCAATGACAATTGACTGGAGAGATTGATTGTCAAACGATTAAAAAGACCTTGACAAGTACTTACCAATGACTGAAAACTGAAGCACATCAATCCACTTGTCCTGGATCGACGAAAATATGAGCAGGATAAGAAAGCAGCAGAACGACCCCGCGTGACTTACAAACTTGAAGAATGGTTTCTTCAGCATTTTGCTGACTTGAGAGTTAGGCGCCAGGAAATAAACTAAAACCAACACTGGCAACAGTAACGTTAATAATATACTGCATATCACTTTCTTTAGGAAGCCAAAATCTTCCCATCCTCCCAATCTGTCGTACAGCACCGAGTTGAGCATAAGCTGGCTGTAAGGGTGAGCGACAAACTAAAGGAAAAAAGATGACACGAGTTCCTAAAATGATCCACGTCCACTTTAAGAGGGCTTTTTGCCCAGCGAACACTTAATCTCGTACGGGATAGGTTTAAACCCGTCACGAAATCTCAAGTCTGATACAACGATGGTGTTTCTTTTCTTTTTTTTTAATGCGATGCAGGATTTGAGAATTTTCTGCTAGTGCTAAAGAACCCAAAATAACCTCGCTTGTTGTTGACAAAGCCAAAGAATACTTGTATCCAAAAATACTGATCAGTGATCTCTTTTTCTTTTATTTTTTTTCACTCTAAGCTGTTCCTAAACGCTTTGTCTCGAGATCTACAGTTTAGTCTTGTCGCGCAACATGCTCACTATATCCTAAGACATTTACACCTCTTGTCCGCAGATCACTCAAATACTCAAGCATCGCCCTCTCCCGAAATATTTTTGCCTCTATGAAAAACTGAGAACACTCTGTGTTTAGCTTAAACCCATTTTACGACATGAACATAATTGAGAATCTGGAGCCAAGCTGAACCGATACATTCGACGAATTTTAACTTACAAATCACCCGTAACGAACTCTAAATGTACTTGAGTCACGCAACCCCCAACATCACGCAAAAGCCCATTACTTTGACAGACAAACATTTTGTCGCTTGCCATTGACTATCGCTTCCGCTTTTGGCTACCAAGTGTTATCAGCAACTATCAAAGACAGCTGTTCTTTTTTCCCCCTGAGGTAAACCCCAAGAGGGTGGGCATGCATGTTTCCTTTCCCTTCCTCCCCCAAATTCACTGACCACAGACGTTACCATGGAGAGACCATGTTTACAGAAAGATGCATAATCATTACTTACACTTAACATATATTGACTTTTGCATCGAACGCACTGATTTGTTTTACAATTCTAGTTATTAATGGAGCTACGTCCCCGTTTGTGCCGTAAAAAAAAAAAAACCCTCATAACAAACTGACGAGTACTATCCACATGGCAAATTTGTAGGAGTTCAATTTTAATTCGAAACTTTGGCTTTTTATTGACGAATCTCAGGGCCCTCGTTAAGCCATCTACCTCAGCAAATTTCGTCCAAGACATGTTTTCCTTGACAGTTCTTCAGAGCTTTCGTGTCAAATTTTTTCTTCCCGATTCCTGCCTGTTTATTTTTACCTCAACGTGTTATTTTCACTTTTAACAAACTATATCGTCGAGGATTGCTCTTTTTTTATCTTGAAAAAAATTATAATAATAATAAAAAAAATCGTGATCTACGTCCTTCCCAATCTCAACAGTAACCAAGTCTTGTTTAGTTAAGCAAGTTAAAACGTTAATAGTCGTACCTTTTCATTACCATTAGCAATGGCAAAATTCAGCACGCTGAGCTTTTGGGCTTCTGGT